TTCTTTTCTCCTGGGTGTTTGTTCACAATGAAGTGAAAGGCCAATTACTCAGTGAGTCTACAAAAATCTCTCAGTGTATTACTGAAGCCACCTCATTCCAGGTCTTAGAGAACTGGACAGAGAAACACCTTATGTAACCTTTTGGGAGAATTTTAATAAACAGGTCCATGGGCAGAGATGGTGTTTGTCTTGGAACTTACCAGTTTGGCACCTGGCTAGTTGAACTGAGGGGTTTCTTTTTGGCCCAGTGGTATAAGCCTGTAATCCTGGCAGTTCAGGAGGCTGAGGCAGGAGCATTGCAAGTTCAAAGCCAGCCTCAGCAAATTAGTGAGGGCCTCAGCAACTTAGGGAGACCCTGTCTCTAAATAAAATACAAAAAAGGGTTGGGAATGTGGCTCAGTGGTTAAGTGCCCCTGAATTCAATCTCCTGGTACCCCCCCCCCCCCCACCAACCAAACAACAACAACAACAACAACAAAATTGAAGGGTTTCAACAGGAAGGGAGGGAAAAACATGATACTAGGCCAGTGCATTCTACTTGTGGTATCTCAGTTAGTCTCATCTGGTTGAAAGCAGGGTGGCTCCTTGTTGGGTCCTCTTTACTGTGGTGATTTGATTGCTATCTCTTTTATCATCTTTTGAGTTATGTTCTTCATGAGTTGACTGGTTCAAAGCTTTTCCAAGCCCTGCATTGCAGAACTCCTAGAAGATTGATTTTGTGCAGAAAGTAGCAACAGCTTCCATGTGTCTAACAGCTTATGGCTAGCAGCTGCTTAGAGCCACCCAGCAGTGGAATATGTGGTCGGAAGTGGGGAACGTGCTGATCAGTCCAGACTATTCTTTCAAAGAGTCTGCCTCTGATTTATGCCTTTTTTGTTTGTTTTATTTGTGATGCTGGGGATTGAACCCAGGGCATTGGGCAGATGCTCTTCCCCTCAGGTGTATCCCCATCCCCTGGTTTTGTTTTTAAAAGGAAAGTTAGTGAATGTATAGATTTTCCATTTAACAGAAATATATTGAGTGTCCTGATAGATCCTATTATGATCTACACACTGTGGTAGCTAATACTGAGGAGTGGTGTGTGGGGGAAGTTACAGCGACGAATTAAGATGTCTTGTTCTCAAGGGACAGGAAGAAAAGACACATATACAAAGTCCAGAGGAGTGATTCATTTAATATGCTAAATGCAGAGAGGATAATTATACCTATCTTGGGAGATCAGGGACATGTGCTTAGAGAAGGTGGCTTTGACATGGATATTAAATGGTAGGTAAGAGTTCATTGTTAGAGGTGGAATAGAAATAAGGGACATTTCAGCCCAGCAGATGACATAAATGGAAGTGTAGAGATGGGATTTTTTTTTTTTTCATGAATCACCAACAAAACCCAGAATCATGGGTGACATGTACAGAATAGAATGTCTTGAGACTACACTGTGGAAGGTTTTGCCTGTTCAACTCAGATTTATATTTTATAGGTAAAGGTCACTAGGAATCCATGGAGGATATTAGAGCAAAAGAATGACATGAACAAATATTTGTGGGGAAAGTCTAGTTTCATCTAATTGTAGTTGACATGGGGGTTGGAGAGATAGAGATTCTGATGGTATCTGGTGAAGGGGTCCTGAGGAAAATGGTGGAAGGAAAGGTCTGGAAGGGTCAAAGGAGAAAGTGGTTATGGAGGAAATAATGTTGAGACTTGGTGTCTTGTAAATGTTCAAGCCACAGAACAGGGTGAAAAAGAAGGCAAGGCCACGTTCTGTGGAAATGTATCTGGAAGAACTGCCCAAAGCAGGCAAATGGAGTGCAGGAACCCATGGAAGATAAATTGGAGTCAATTTGCCTGTGGCACATGTGATTAGAAATGTATGGAATTAGTTAGAAATGATGTGCTGGTGCCCAGGAAGGCACTGGGGCTGGCGATGAGTTGTGTAAGTATGTTGTATGAGTCATCAAATGGCAGGAGTTGAGATGAGGAAAGGCAGGAGTTCATAGGAGTAGTTAGGAGCTGAGAGTGATGCTGTGCAACACACAAAACATGATAATAAATGATTGAAGAAATGGGTGTTATTGATCCACCTGAGCAGCAGGGGCATCATAGCGAGAGTGGAGGAGTCACGGGAGAGTGGGAGGAAATGGCTGGGGCAGATGGAGGGCTGGGGCATTAGAATTGTGAGCTGGTGGTTTTGGCTTGTACATTTATTACATTGCCTCTAACAGATATTTGCCAGAGAGCATTTGGGAACAGAACTATAGACTTTGAACCATTGAAGTGAATGAGATTCATGAGGAACTGACTGATTAAATAAAAGCCGGGAAGAAGTGAAATTTGAAGTTAGGAAGCTAGAGGTAAAAGAGGAACTGAAGAGTCTTGCTTGGACTTCATTGAAGGATTGGTTATAAATTTCTCCTCCGTCTTAGAAGCTCTAGAAAGGACATTACAAAATGAAGGAGTAGTAACAGTGTCAAGGCTGATGGGAAAAGAGCATTGGAATTAGGTTTGGGGGTGGGAATGGTAATATTTGATTGGACCTGGCTGGAGCGGGGCTGGGAAGTGGGCCGTGGAGCCAGCCCTGTCCTTATATAATGGTCATTTTAGTCAGCTCAGCGGCATTATGGGTGTTCAGTAATCATCATTCCGTTTCCTCTGTGGGTTAGAATTTTTCTTTAATCTTTCTCTATTGAGTCTAAGCTTTGTGCTTTCCTGGTCTTTGTTCCTTTCATATATCTGACTTCAGAATGTTCTAGATATGAGTACCCCCAGAGACTTCTGTCTTTTTAAACTTGATTCTGTATCTGTGAATCAGACCTGAATAAAAAGCTGAGTAATTCTGAGAGACCTCAACCAAGAAGTTTAATTCTGGGAATAATTGTTTCCAATGCCTTGTCCTACCTCAACAATACCTTTTTTGGCCTAATTCGTTGCTTCAGTGTAATTTTAGACTGAAAATGTGTTTGATGTTTTAGGATACAAGAAGTAAGATTTGGGTTGGGAGACTCTCTGATAGCCCTTTCTCTGGAGGGGATCTCTGGTAGCTGGAAGTAGAAAATCGTAGGAGAGAAGTTTTGTTCCTACAGTTTCTTTGCCCTGTGGTTGAGAGCACATTTGCCCCTCAGCTCACAGCCAGAGCCATAAACAATGGACAGGTCCTTGCAATGGCCCAGGACTGTGGACTGTAACTTTACTATAGACCTCAGTCACCAATGCAAATCATATTCTAAAGGAGACAGACTCAGAATGTTGAGAGTATCCCTAAATCTTGCCATTCCTCAATAATTCTCAGTTCCCTGGAGAAGTCAGTTATGTTAGAAGTCAGTCAGATTCAGAAAAGCAAATAGCATATGTTTTTACTTATGCGTGGAAACTAAAATGTTGATTTTGAAGAAGTAGAAAACAGAGCAGTGATTTCCAGAGCTTTGAAGGCCCCGGATGTAGAGGATAGTTAATGGGTACAGGGGGGCATAGGGGTAGAAGAAATAGCGTTTGTTTTTGGTATATGTGTGTGCTGAGAATCAAACCCATGCTAAGAATCTCACACATGCTAAGCATACGCTGGACAGCTGAGCTACATCCTTAGCCCAGGAGGAATAACTTCTAATGTTCTGTAGCACAATATGATAACTATAGTCAATAGACATTGTTACCTATACAAAGTCTGCCTAACAACATTGTTCTGAACACCCAGAGGTGAAGGTAATGGAGGAGCTAATTAGGGGACACTGCACGTTGAGCTGGAGCTTTTTGCAGAGCTAGAGGGTCCCTCAAAGAGGACTACACGGTGTTCAGAATTACCAGACAGAACAGCATCTTGTCAAGGGCAGGATACTGGGAGGAAACAGAGCTCTTTCAGTGATTTGGGAAGGCAAGGAGCCTAATCTTTCAGGAATCTTTTGCCATTTTTAATGAATTCCTTCTAAAATTAAAAGTAATTCTCACAACAGCCTTGAGGGACAGGTGGTTCTATTCCCATTTAACAGAGAAGCTAGATGAAGTTCAATAGATTATACTGCAGACAAGTTGACAGAGCTGGATCTGCACTGGTCTGCCGGATTCGGAATCTCTTCCCAGACACCACCTTGCCCTTTTGGAGGGATAAGAGTAGACCATGGTTTTATATAGATAGCCTTTGGATGGGTGTATATGAAAATCCAGGATCTTATATAGTACTTCTCTGATTTCTTTCCTCTCTTCCCATCCGGTTCTTGTCTGTGATCTATTCTTTTGGTTGCAAACCACTCCCTACTCTACAAGGGTATCTGTTTGCATCCAAAGCAGAAAGAATTTCAATATCCACATCTCCGGAGGGTGAGCTGGTGTGTTTCTTTGATGCATTTATTCTATCTGGGGGCAGGCAGAGCACAACTGTGGCTGTCAGGGAGGGAGCACAGCTGAAGTCAGCCTCCAGTTGATACCGCGGCACATGGTATCATGGTCACATTAGTCCAGTGTGTCTGACTCAAGCTGTTGTGTGATTGGTATTTATCAGGGCCATAGTTGGGGGAAGAATTCTATGCACTTTGTAGGAACAATTTCACAATGTCTCATATCCCAGTTGCCACATGTTCTCATAAAAATATCATGAATCCAAGCTTGTTTGCAGAAAACCGAATGGCTGCTTGCCCAATTCATGTACCACTTGAGGAATTCTGGTTATACCTTGACCTTGCGACCTTCTATTGCCTGTGAGGTCTTTGAAGGAAGCCCCATTTTCATCCTGATTTTAATAAGGAAAAATTAAATATTATGCATGTTTTATTCAATTAATAATACTAAGTATAGAAAAAAGGACCACAGGGGTGATAAATCATTTATAAATTTGGTGCTGCTGGCTGATAGATTGTTACTTTGATAAAAGTAAGAAACTCATTGACAACAACTAAGAATAGCAAATGTAAATTCTTCTTGTTTACATTTTAAAAAAACTAGGTGGTGTCTTTTTAAATTTATAAAATGATGAAATAAAACTAACAGATAGTGTTTCCTTTTTTGTTATTTTGCAGAAAAAGCCACTGTCTGCAATAATAAAGGAAGTCTGTGATGGGTAAGTGTTCCTTAGGGTTCATTTAAAGCACTCCAGTTTATGGGTTGAAGGCAAATAAAATATTTCCAGTGCAGTAGTAAAATATTATTCATAACTCACACTTGACCATCCCAAGTCACTAAGAATTACTGCCTAAGAATTATAAACCCTTTTCCACCAAAAATTTACTAAGAGAAGAAAGTGTGAAATGGCTGGATTATTCAAAGTGGGATTGGTTTTATTTATTTTGGAAAGTTGTGTTCCTTTTGTTCTACTCAGTGGGGAGCAGTCTAAAGGTTCCTGAGGTTAAATACACACTGCATCTGGTGTAAGCTAAAAGGTGGCTCAGGTCCTCATAGAAGATGAAAGAATTGAGAAGATAAGTTCATGGGCAGTTGGACTGCCATGTGGAATTTCATTCTGGTCTGGCTTTCCTACTTCTCTTTGGCTGTTCTGACAGTCCAAGGGAAAGCACATATGAAAGTTGCATGAGATTTTGACTTGTAAAGCAGAATTGTGAATAGAGTATTACTTGGAATTTATGTAAGACCTGGAATCCTTAATTGGAGTATTCCAATCTGCATCAGGCATATGGATTGGGGATTATTGAACTCAGACAATTGAAATGTGTTAATTATCAAAATTTAAATTGCATTTGTTTCCTTTGTTTTCCTCTCTCTGCTTGAATCTTTCAAAGTAGGAAAGAAGGTTCCAATTTATATTTAAATCTCTCACCTCCATCCCTGAAGATGAAATGCTTCCAGGTGAACAGTAGGCTTGGAATAGGTCCAGACAATCCATAGACGAAATGTTTGGTGTTAGGGTAATGAAGCGTGGGCTAACACCATTTACTTGAGAAACTCCATTGTGGTGTATGTTAGGGCTGCTCATCCTAATCATAGGGCCTTTTAATTCATCCAGCTCTATGCAATTAATAAAAATGAAAATGATCACTTTTGTTCTCCTGATCACTTTATGCTTATATTTTTTAAGGTGGTCTCTTGCCAACCATGAATATTTTGCACTGCAACATGCTGATAGTTCAAACTTCTACATCACAGAAAAGGTAGGTCAGCTACATTATTTCATCTGGGACACTATATTTAAGGAACGTAAATCATGACTGAGGTTTCCTGTTTCCTCTGCTCAGGACTAGGTATGCTGGTCTGAATTCTACATCTCTGCCATCTATGGAAATAGGGTCTATAAAGCAAACAACTGCTGCTTTAGTATCAACAAGACAATATTTAGTTCATTTAAGACTGAAGGCCAAATAGTTTCTGAGTCTTGTTTAGAAAACTACTTTTGCTTCCTAACAGTGAATGTTAATTACCTCTCGTTCTCATTGTTTGATTAAGGAATTTGAAACTTAATGACTTAGTTTAACTTTCTTCTCACATCCCTCCCCCCTTTTATTTTTGCTTAAAATACTTGAGATGATGACAAGAAATCTTTACAAATACTTGGAAACCTGCTTTCTTATTGGGTGATTTTCACTCCTTAATATGCTTAGATAAAAGGAGGGATTCATGAGGGATTCATGAATGGCCCTGGCAGCAAGTAAAATTAATATCTAAGAGATCCAGGCTAGGATCTGAGCCAGGAAAATGAACATCTATCTGTTTTTTGATATTTTTTTTTCCTGAAGATTAACCTGTGATATAAAAATATTGGCTTTGATTAATAGATAATAAACTGAATCACTGAGGTCAAATGGCCAGACTGATGTCACATACTTGATTTTTCAGAAAAAAAAGTGAGTTTAGATCTTTGTGCTTCTATGATTTTGTCTTTTGGAAATTTTTAGAATAGTTTAACACTCAGCTCGATGTTGGGGAAGAACTCCCTGAAATGCATAGGAATCTGTACTGTCCTTTGTGGGGTTGATGGGTATGGAAGGAACAGCTCAGTGAACAGCGGCCATTACAAGATGGTCAGCGCTGGAATGGAAGTGAGTACGAACTGCTTTGGGAGGAGAGAGAATAACACAGTTTTGTTCCAATCAGCATGAGTCAAGTGGTGGAAGGTGGACACAGTGAAAAGGATCCTACACACACTGTGTCTCCCTTGCACTAATTTGGAGAGGATGGGGATTCAATTAGCAGGAGGGGGCTGGCTAAATGCCTGGAAATGCTTCTCAGAAATTGTTCTTCCCAGATGGACACTGCAACTTTTGTAAGGGATCATGCTTTCTTTCCTCTTCAAATGGATTTGCTACAAAGCTGAGAATTAAGGAGGGGCCCAGATTTCCTGGCAAGTGTTGGTTGCATATATTAATTTTACCTTTTCTTAATTCTGTAAACATTTTGTTTCCTGTCTCTTTCCCCTTTGCTTGGTTTCTGAGTGTAATTATTTGTTTTACAATTTCCATGTGAGATAAGGAACATATAATTAAATACAAGTTGAATGTGAGCAGTTAAGTGTATCACCTGCTTTCATTCGTTAACCTTGGATGGTGAAATCAACTCAGTCGGTTGCAAGAGCATTAAAAAATGAGAGTAGAATAGTTCAGAGAATATGTCACCTATATTGTTTGTGAACTCTTTGTTTCAGACACCCACATGTGAAATGCATGTAGATTGTACCTTTTTTTTTTTTTTTCTTTTATCCTTTGGTCAGAAAGCTGCTGAGTCACAAGTAGCCTTGCCATTGATTAATGTGTATGGCTTGCGGCTTGCATCCCCACTGGCTGTTGTGTCTTCTGTCATCATTGTCGGAGACCTCAGTTTATTGGAGATTACTAAGACAGAATTCTCAGACTTCAGAGAACATAAACACTATGGGGAGACTACTTTAAAAATGTAGGTTTTCAAATCTGAACTGCAGAAGTCCAGATTGTGCAGGATTTCCTTGGATATTTTATAGGACATTTCATTTTAAGGAGCCCTCCAGGGAATTCTGATGTGGGATACCCAGCGACCACTCAAAAGAAACACTGCTCAAGGAGGGGTCTCTTTTCTGAAGACAAGGACCCCTGCATAGAGAGCACAGTGTACTCTGATCACAGGTTGTCACAGAGTTTGATTGAGGAGTGTGTTTTTGTACCCCCTTTCTTGAAATAACTTAAAAATTAATAGCATCATATAATGTTGCTTTCTCTTTTCCTAATTAAAATTCAGATACACTCAGGAAATTCAAACTCCTGAGAACAGGATAATATTTATTATTTTGTGAGGCATCTTAATCATTTTCTGGGAACACTTGTTTGGCCTGAAAAATTCATTCAAATTCAATGTTGAATTTCAAAGGGACTGGCCCCCTAAGACTACCATTGGGTCTTTTTGTCTTCAGTGGGTGGCAGCAGACATTATTTTTTAATTAAGAGTTTAGAGAGTGAGAAGACTCATCTTCCCAGTCATAACCCTTTTGTTTGTAAATAAAATGTCATTGCTCTTCTCCTGCAGCTGTTACTGGCGCAGCTGTGTGTGCGTGTGTGAGACACAGGGCTGGACACGCACAGGGCAAGAGGCGATGTTGAATCTTGGCTCCGCAAGGTCAAATCTGGGCTTTCCTTCTCGTGCTGTGTAGGTCCAAATAATTTCTTATAAGTATTCCTAAAAATAGAGAACCTTTCCATCCTTAAAATAATGTAATTAGCATCCTCTCTGTTACTTACAGCCCAGTGAGTTGTTAGGTAATATTTGTATCGCCATGGTAACCGGTGACTAATTTCTGAAACTTGTGCATGCCGTTAGTTGCAGATTTTCACTTGCATATGAGATACTCTCCCTCCCTCTGCCAAAGATAAAAAAAATCACCTGTCATTTCAAAGGGAGAAAATTTTCTAGACCTGGCCTAATAAGCAAAGAGATGTGGTTAGTGGGGATGATTGATGATTCTCTGCTAATATGTTCAGGAAGATACCTCTCCTACTTTTCTCAAGTTATCCATATCCATTTTTCTCAATGGTGATCATCTACTCATTGGGCTGTTAACTTGGGTTTTTTAGTGCAGCAGAGAAAATGTCATGTTAAGTAGCATTCTGCTACTTGAGATTCAGCTATTTGCACATTCAAATTCTTCCCTGGAAACCTATATTTTAGGGTGATGTCTGAAGAGAGAGAGAGAGAATGAAAAAGTGAAAAGTGAATTGTGTGCTTCAGTGGATTCGTTTTTTGAATAAGGATTGCAGAGAGAGTACTCAGCATTTTGGTCACTACCCTTGTCACAGTTTAATGATCATCTTCATTTTAATAAGGAAGTGAGACCAAGAGAAATTACATGACAACTTATATAGGTCATACAGGCCAGAAATGACCAAGCTGAGGCTTGGACCTTGTTGAGTCTGACTCCAGAACTCTCTCTGCCACCTCTGATGAACCCTCTGTGTCCACTGTCTTGGCCCCCATTTATTTATGATGCCCTTTTTTTTTTTTTTTTTAATTGACATCAGGCAATTGTTCCTGATGGTAATTGCCTTAAGACATGAAATGCAGGAAGTTACAGCTTGTGAGTACTGGTTACCTGTTTCAGTCTGTGGCTTCCATGTGAGGGTAAATTGTGGGAAGTAAATCTCTCTAGGGATTAGCAAAGTGCATTCTATTTGTCTTTTGCTCTGGATTGCATGACTGTTTAAGGGAATATAATTATATTAATATCATTCTTTTTAGGCAGATGAGAAAATTGCCTTTTGCCTTTAACCCCAAGCATTCAGAAAGCTGTGTCCCCCAAAAGTACAGGGCATGGTGAAAGAAGCATTATAGGGTTGTGTACTAGAGGATGATTTATTATGATTGCAGGACACTATCTGGCTCCACTCTGTAAGACTGACTCCAGAATGGATGAAAGTATCCTATTACCATAAATTTCTTATCTTGTAGTAACTAAGCCTATCCTATTACCATAAATTTCTTATCTTGTAGTAACTAAGTCTCATCCAGGTCCTCTGCAAAGTTGGCCTCAGGAGCCTTTGGGAGGAAGTGTGGTCTTTTGGGGAACACCCCTTTTTGGTCATCCCCACTTTCTAAGTACTTGGGGTTCTTGAACAGTCCCTGAATTACCTAGAATCCCTGGGCAGACAGAACCGTGTGGTCCCTGGGACATGTACTTTCTACTGGGGAGATCACTGTGTGTAATTTAGTTCAGTTGTCATGCTTTGGTGGACATACCCTTAAGCAAGCACAAGCAAAACCAATCTTCAGAAAGGATGGAGGCTCAGAGATAAGAAGGGATGAGGGCCTGTTCAGAGGAGATGGAGAGGGGAACATTCCTGTCTTGATCTCCATCTCTGGTTTCTGTGTCCCTTGTCTGTTCATCCTCAAGAGAGGGCCTGCTGGGGTTGGTCAGATGTGCCGCTGGACTAAAACCGGCTGTTGGCTGATTTTTGTGATTTTCATTCAAAGAGCTTTCCTAGCAATAGTATATTCACTTGGGCAAACCAAAGCCCAGGAAAGCTGTAAATTTCCTAATTCAGCCAAATACCCTGGACAACATTCCCTCTTCTGCTGCCTGTGGTAAAAGATTCTGGATTCTTTGAGAAGAAGTCACTATTGCTTCCTCAGGAGGCCACTCCTTTCCCAGTCTGACCAGTGCACGCTTGCACATGGACATTGGGCCAACTCCTACAGGACCGGCTCTCAGCTGGCCAGGATGGGTGAAGAAAAATCTTCTTGCTCTTCTCTTTGCCCTGTCCCTTCGGGTCTTCTGTGTCTCCCAACTCCAAACATTTCTCTCATGCTCCTCCTTGGCCCTCTCCTTTCCCTTTTGATACCTCGATGTCTGTTGTCCCCTCTGTGAAAAATGTGCCTTGCCTCCAGAATTCTTTCTTTCTTGCCCTGTGATCAAACCTGTTATTGATGCTTTACAGCTGCCCTGTTAGCAGCCTATATGTCTGTCCCCAGACTTTGTCAAAATGGGACTGTCCTAGACAGCTTATATCCAGGGCTACCAGAAAGAAATGGCCATACTGGAAGGAAACAAAACAAACAAAACCCAACCATACATGAATACATTCAATAAAATAAAATTGAATTGTCTTTCCAGTATGCACCAGGCACTGTACTAAGCTCTGGGGACAGTCCTAATCCATTTGATTCTCATAGAGAAATATTTACCTTGTATTAATTG